ATGTAATATGCTGTATCGTTCACACAGGCTGGGTAGTTTCAAATCTATTTCAGGATTTTATATTCTCCCTCTTGCTTCCTTCATTTCTCCTTTTAAGAACCCACATTAGAACTAACTGAAGCAGCTCAAGCATTTACTCGATTTGAATTAATATTTAAATACATGCTGTATATTTTAGTCATTTAAACCTCTATAACTCACTGCTATTTCAAGAACAAAAGAGAAGGAGCTGCAATAAAATATCCTATTTAGTTCTTAGCCTTTTGAATATTATAATATATTTGTACCATAAAGCACTGAAATATCCTAATGTGTTTTTGCACTGGACTATCGTACTCTACTATTTTATCCTTTTACCACGGCTAGAGCAGTTAATTTGCCTATTCTAATGAAATGGCCTTGTTAAAAAAAGTATTCCTGCAGTATAGGCAAGCATAAATCAGTATAATACTGGAATCCTCCTGAAAAACGAAAAATAAAAGCGTGTATGTCCCTAATTATGACTGTTCAGCTTTTTTGAGGCGTAATTGAGAAGTAATATTTTAGAAAAGCATGTGATTAAAGTCTTTTAAAAACAATCACAATTTGAATCTGATCTGTAAATTATTGCCAATATTTCACAAATAGCGATTATCCCGAACTTGTTTTGAACCTAACAATCAGGGCAGTGTAAAGTGCAGTAACACTGGGGAATTCACCATCGGCTCCCCCGCTGACTGAGCAATGCAAAGCAGTCTGCCCCGTAAAACTCATGCATAAAATTCATCATAATTGGTGCAGATAGCTCCTCTGCTTATATCGCTGTCAGATTAATTTATATAGGAAGTTATATAAATTCCCTACAGATGGTCCATCTACAGCGCAGTGTGCATATGGGAGTCGGAATCTGAGGTCACATAGCAATTTGCTACCAAAGCAATCTCATGGAAACATCCTGAGATGAAACTGAGGCTTGTGGGATGAATGCTTTACATTAGAATGATATCGTATCAGTAGAAGTAACTAATTTCATTTTGCATCAATATCAGCAGCAGGTTTTATTTTCTTGTATGGTGCGCTTCCTTTGAAGCTGTGTAATGATCTCAACAAGCTAAAAAATAACTCAAGTAGGTTTTGTATTATTATCAATATACAATATACATTAAATATTTATGCCAGTAGAATTATTGATTGAAGATCAGCCTGAGAACAGTAAACAAGACTCGCTGCTGCAGAGTTATGTCCATGTAGCCATACACTTATTGCTGTAGTAATGCATAATAGATAACAGATTTGTGGAGGCACTGATAAAAGTATCTATTGCCTCTAGTCATATACAAAAAAATGCTGCTTCTGCTGGCAGTGGTTCTCTATATTTTTGAATAGTGTGTGCTCCAAATAGCCTGCTATGCATCAGTACTAATGAACTAAGCAATATTGGTAAAACTCTACCTTGGAAATATTTCTTGAATGTTTAAAATGACAGACACATTGTAGAGATGCAGACATAATTAGAGACAGTCCTGCCAGAAGGCTCCACCTCTGTGCTTCATCTGTTAGCATCCAAACCATCAATACCAGTCAGGTAATCCTAACGTTCTAATAAGAGCAACAGCATTACAAATAAATATGTCACAATTGAAACCAGTAAGTAAGCGATTAGAGGACCTGATACTAAAAAGGATTGTAGGGGTACAAAAGAAGAGCTAAAGGAAATGGAGATAAATGTATGTGATAGGATTGTTTTGGAATTTTATAAATAAAAATAATTGATTGTTAGTTTGGCATTAGTTAGTAGTCTGCATACTGACACTGTTCAGCAGTATGTCACAAGATAGTACTATCCATGGATGATCTGGATCATGGTGGTATTGTTTAACATTGAACAAAGACCCTTCAGTGACTTATTATGTGACTAATAATTTGAAAATAGGAAAATAGGAAACAATAATATTAACTTTTTTTTAATCCAGATGACCTCAAAATGAAAAAATGGAAAAATATCTGCGTGCTTCCTGCTGAGCCACAATACTCCTGTAGTCGGCTTCCATTTATTACTAGTTATTCACTCGGAGGTACTGGAAGGCTAAAACCAGCAGTACAACTTTTTTTTATCTTCTTCCCCTTGTCTTTTATACTTCCAAATAAATGTGATTTATTACACATCTCATACTGATGATAATAAAAATAATTGTCTCATAATAATACAATCAAAAATGTAAATATATATATATATATATATATATATATATATATATAATATATATATATATATATATATATATATATATATATATATATATATATATATATATATTAATCTCTGTCTCTCTTCCACAGCATGTCTTTTATCCTATCTTCCTTCTCTCACCTCAGCAGCAGGCGGCTGGCTGCCCCTCCCTGACCCTGGTTCTGCCGGCCGGAGGTTTCTTCCTGTTAAAAGGGAGTTTTTCCTTCCCACTGTCACCAAAGAGCTTGCTCATATGGGTTCATATGATTGTTGGGTTTTTCTCTGTATGTATTATTGTAGAGCCCTGCAATATAAAGCGCCGTGAGGTGACTGTTGTTGTGATTTGGTGCTGTATAAATAACATTGGATAAATAAAAACTGGATGGATATATATGAATAAATAAAGCTTATTTATGCCAACAGAAACTATGGTAACTAAAACCTAGTCTCTCTGTGTGTAACTCATCAACGCTGACTTCTCATTAACAGAAAATCTGACCTCTTGATTCCTAATCTAGCTATTTGTACACAGTGAGGTCACTGTTAAGCAAATAAAATAATAATAATGTCAACTACAATAGCAGAGTTAAGTTATCCTGTGGTGAACTGTGCTGTATGTGTTGGCTGTATAGCCAGTAGTGGTCACAGGAAGGAAGGAATTGCAAGTATTGATTGGTGTCATTGACTGGTAGAATTATTGACTTCACAGAAAGTCTCAGTCATTAATCTTACAGTTTTTGTACTTGCCACACTGAACAGAGACTCTGTTTAGTCTTAGATCACTGTCACGCACATGCACAAAGGAAACATGTATGGGCACCGTGTGCTGTGGAGAATGTAGCATATATAGTAATGTAGTCAAATAGAGTAATTTTACCATTGTCCTCTCTCTCTCTCTCTCTTTCACACACACACACACACACACACACACACACACACACACACACACACACACACACAGAGCTGATTTGCATTACATCATGGTGATGTTGTGGGAGCCAGATCTTTATGACACAGCCTCATTACGGGCTTGGCTGGCCAGCACTGCTGGAATATAAGGCCAGCGGCCATCAAGCAACTGTCACTTCTCCTCAGCAACAGTCCTTCCTTCTCCACGCTGGTGCATGTGTGTTGTTAATGATGTGTGTATGTGTGCTTGTGTGGAAAGAAGAAGCAAAGAGGGTGCCTACTTCACGACAGAGTGACTGTGTATATGTGTTTGTGACAGAAAGGGAAGAGATGGAGTGCATCTGTGTGAGTGAGAAAGTGTCGGAGAAACACGGGGATAACAAGAACTCGCTGAGTTAACTGCTCAACAACTCAACTCAGCTTGTTGGTTCTGGTCGAACAACATTGCATTTTATACTTGATTTAAAATGTTTTTTTAATAAAATGTAAAATAATCAAAGCATAATGCTAATGCTAGAAATATTTAGCTTCTTCTCAGAAACAACAAAGTGATCTTTGCAGCATGTCAAATATTAGTGGACATTTTAATATCATCTCTAATACCAACATGGAACATTTAGTTGGTCCCAAGCAAATCACACCATACATACAACTTATTTTACTCAGTGCAGGTTAGTCCTCAGGTCCAAACTTGCTCTGATGTTTATTGATTTTTTTTTCTTCTTTTGGCATGTACCTATATAGAAAGTGCTTTCTCACTTTATGTTAGGCACGTTAACATTTTTGTACTGTGCTCAGGGGAATTGTTTCTATGTTTTGCCTGAATTGTTGTTAATTGTTAGGAGAGCTAGAAGATATTTCCTAGACTGAAAGTCTTTAATTCTCCATTAATACAAAATAATATTGTGTGGTTAAAAATGATGATGAGTCACTTTTTATTCAAATCCCAGGCTGGATGTCATGTGACCCTCTGGGCACTGCTATCATGTGACCTACATTAAACTGTGTGAATCAGTGGATGGATGCATAATGTCACCCCCTCGGCTTGCATATCATATGGACTGTGTCAGATCACATGACCTGCATTAAATTAAATGAATTTAATTTAATAACCCTGATCTCTGACCTTTCACCTTTCTCCTTGACCAAGCTCCTGTGGGGAATATGATCTTTAAAAAGGTGATACACAGAGACACACAGCCACACATGTCCAAAGATGCTGTGAAAGCATATCATATAAGTAGAAATTTGGGGTTCCCAAACTCTGGTCAAGCATGAAACTTGGCATTTTCTGTGAATCTTATTAATTACTGTGAGAATTTTTAGCAAAAATTGTTGAGCATAAGCGTAATCTGAAATGCTTTTGGCATGGCAGTGGTCTAGCAGTGTAAGCACTTAGAGATACAATGTACCAATTTACTTCAACATATATGCCACATGCTTTTCAGATGACTTTTCTGCTCACTTTCTACGTGCCAAACAAACTGCCACCATGTGCACATGACACTTGTAAACACAAGTCCCCTTGGACATGCTTATCCACAGTTTTTTCAAAGAAGAAAGCTGCGTCGTCAGTGTCAGGTGCACAAAAGAAAGTAGGGGACCACTACTTTTTTTCACCATTTCTTAATGGACTTTTTTCCAGTTTAATTTTTTCATACATGGTAGCATACAGCTGACAACATGCAGCATGCCAGCAAAGAATTGCAGCCTATTAGACAATTCTAAAAATGCCCCTTTTTTAAGTTATTGGAAAAAAATGTGATGCCATCTTTTGTTTTTTCTCACGTACTGAACATATACCAAAACGATGGCTCCACCGTTCATGCCAAGCAGTGATTTTTGTGTACCATTACATGCTTTTGCAGATATTTGTACTCACCATACATTGCACCAGGGGGGCAGTCGAAGACTCCTTTCTTTCTTCTCTTTATCCGAGCATGCTGTCAGTTTTTTCTTCTCCACCGTCCTGCTGGTTTCTCTCGCCTCCTTCTTCTTCTCCTCCTCCCTCCCCTCCCTGTCCCCCCTCTTTCCACTGCTGTTCAGGTCCAGCGCTGTCGCTGGTGCCAAGAATCCAGGCGACACACACACACAAGCAGTTCTGGGTAACTCTTTGAGAATACACTTCGACACAGCTGGGTTCGAAGCTCAGCGCAAACACACACACACACACCACTACACACACACAAGCATATCCACAAACACAGCTGAGCACATCCACAGTCCTTACACACCCCCTGCGCAGCCTCACATAAACACACAGCTGGACTATTTGCAGCTGGATGGAGATTGTGGCATTGTGTTGCTGTTTTTTGATGTTTTGAGGAATCAGAAATTCAGGTTGGAGAAATGGCAGTTACTGAATGTTTAGAGATCAAGAGGCAGTGGGACTTTATTCAGTCCAAGAATTTCCTCGCATATTTCCTCAAGCAGTCTTCTATTGGTCAAATACTCAAATCTAATCCTTGCAGGAAACACACAAGAAAATCATTTATGCTTCAGCAGTGTTGGCTTAACTCATCTGGCAGGACTGGCGCTGTAGAAGCAGGTGAAGCATTTCAATCCAAAATATAAATCAGTGTTCTTCTTGTAGAAAAGAAGAAAATGTTGTGGTCCTCATGAGATCGCTCAAATATCGGTCCTCTTCCTAAAGGTCCTCCTTTCTCTAGAAAGTCATTGCAGTCAATCCAAAGAAGTTGGACAGCTGCCCAAAAAACCTCCAGGAAGCCAACTCCTGGCTATTTTGCATGTCTTATGTTATTTTGTGCCAACATCTCTGCTTCATATCGCTCAGCTTGACTATTCTGGTGTAAAAACTCCTCAGAGAGAAAGAAATCAGTTGCATCTCTTCTGTTTTCCCCTCTGTGGAGCAAGTAGCATGTTCTTGCCAGAGTGGCCTATCGGCATCAATATTTAACAGCAATCTCTTGCTGTGCTGCTGTCACAGTTAAAGTTTCCATGTCCCCATCACTGTGCGCTGGATCTCATGTTCTCTGGTCTGCAGTGTTTTCTCTTCAGCTCCGTCTTTCTGTCCTTCTGTGCTTTATTGTATTTCCAATATTGCTCTAACCTTTCTACCCTCCATCATTGCCTTCTTCTATTTAACCCTCATGAAACTTGCTCCATATCCAAACCTCTGCCAGGTTCTCTCCTGGAGGTAAAACACAGCCACGCAGGACTTTCTTGCCCGCAAGGAGCTCAAACAATCTTTCATTAATCCCCTCCTACTGTCCTTTTTTGCAGTTCTCCATCCACTAACCCTGCAGCAAACCTTCACTCAACCTTCCCTCAACTGGCTTCAGTCAAATTAAACCTTCCACTTTCTATATTCACCCTCTTCTTGCCTTCCTCTCCCTCTTGCAACCTGATTCACGTGGCCTATATATCACTCACTGCCTGCCTGCCTGCGTGGTTACTTCTGTCCTCATCCTGTCCTTCTTCTGTCTAATGACAGCTCAATTCTGGTCAAGTCCTCTCTGATTTTTTCCCCCCCCGCTTTATATCTTCCTCATTGTTCCTCTATCTCCCTCCACCTCTCCTCTTGCATGCAGAAAACGCGGCATTTGAGCTGCTGTGCTCTGAGTCATACCGCTCTCTCCTCCCTTTTCCTTCCAGAAGCTTGCAAATGTTCTTTTTTTTTTAGTGCCTCGCTTCTCTAACAACCATCAGGATTTGTTCAGCATTTTTTTAGGTCCTAGGCGCTGAAATGATGCCTTTTCATCCTGCTGACACAGACAGAAGGACAGACTGTGGATAGACAGTCAAACAGAAAGACAAAAAGGAGCCAGTCATACTTTTTCCCAACAGAGGCAGGAGTCTGCTTTTAAATGCTTGATCCTGTCTGTGTTTTTGCTGTTGCTAGTAGTCTTACTCATTTGATTACAGAAGGCTTAGTTTCTCCTCTTCCCACTGGTGAAATGCCTTTTTCACTCGCCGCAGTCCCTGTAGCAAGTTTGGTCCATTTTTCCTCTCTTTAACCCTCACAGCTGGCTCTCCAAATATGTTTTTGTGACAGTCTGAAAAGAGGAGAAGAAAGGACAGAAGCATGTTTACTGTAAATACCACTGTCTTTTACACTCTAAGAACACACTGAGATGTTCTCAGAAAAGGGGGCAGAAAAGCTTATGGGTGGGTGAGTGGGTGGAATGGAAAGATGGTTAGCAAGAAAAGGTGTGAAGACAGAGGCACAAGGATGGATGAAGGGTAAGACGGTGAACAGAGGAAGATGAAGATGGGTACATGCATGGATTTAAAGGATGAATGGTTCGGCAGGTTAACTGCTGTCACAGAGGAAAAGGCCTCTCCAAGTCTCTGTTAGTCAAAACTATCAGTATAGTAGTATTTAAATTAGCTTTGTCAATATTTCATTCATTTATAGTTTGATATTTTACCTGCGTTGGAATCCTGCCGTACTCTCCCTGACAATGCACTGCTGCTCTTTTTTAATTTCTACCTCTCTCATCGTTCTCTGTCTGCTGCTGCAGCCTCAGTCTGTGCCATCACTAAAATGCAGTATCCCTTCCCTCCCGCCTCCTCTCCTCTGCCTACTCCCTCTGTCTCTCCCACTCTGTTTCCCTCAATTTCTCTCCCTCCTTTACCCCCACCATGCTCCCATTCTCTCTATATTTGTCCTTCTCTGTCCGTCTGTGCCTCTATTTTTCAGTCTCTCCCTCTATCTCCTCACTTGGTTTACACGTTCACTTCCTCCGTCCCCGCCCCTTCCGCCACTCTACCCCCTGTCTCCACTTTCCTCACATGTATTCCATCACCACCTCTCCTCCTCCCTTTCTTTCACTCTCGTCGCCTGCTTTTTTCAGCCTTTCCTCACAGAGAAGCTTCGAGAACACACTGGACTGGGGGGACATGTGAACACCATTCACAATCACGCCGCATGAATAATACATCCATAGTACGTTCATACTTTTTCAAATGCATGCACACATCAAAAACCTGCTCCAAAGATGTTCTCTCGCTCTCTCTCTCTTTCACTCTATCTGACTGAGAAAAAACAAAAGTAGATCCTGCTCAACAAACAATGAGGATTTTGATATGCGCTACCTGTGCCAGCCACACGGGCTAAAACGCAGCTCACTGAACGCGCTGAGAATGAAAGCAGGTCTTCAGCAGCGCAAGACCACAGCTGCAAATCGAAGAAAGATTGAGCAAAATGTAATTAGTAAATTTCTCATACGACTGCAGCCACATACTGTTTTTGCAAAAAATATGTCATTTAAAATGAAAATTCAGCTTTGACAAGCAGTGATCGACTCATTGAGCTTCTAAATGAAACATTAGTACATTTAGGTTTGCGTAACCAGTGGAAAAGAGACAGAAGATCAGAAAGGGAAAGCGTTTGAGTGGGTTTGCTTGCATGTACATGTTGCGTTGTGCTGAACATTTGTGCATATATGTGTAAACTATGAGAAGTGCATCACATCGTCCTCTTGCATATATGTATGTGTGTGTGTGGCTGAGGTTGGGTGCGTGGGTGGTTGTGTGTAGCTGGTTAGAACTGTCCTTTTGGCCCCTAGCATCACCCAGTGCCACCATCTGTGCTGCCAGCCAGATGGGAAGGGTGTGTGTCTGCACAAATGTGTGTACATGAGTGAGTGTGTCCAAGCAACCATTTACATGATCACTGGATGCGCTGTTTTCTTATCTAGAAATTTTTTTTTGTGTCAATCCACAGAGCAAACTAGCAGTTCTTACGATTTGTTGACTATAAATCTGATGCAACGCCGCCACCCTCCACCCCATAGTAACATTTCATTGTTAAGTGACACTATGCCTGTTGTTTTCAAGTGACCTGAGTCCTCTATGTACTAAGTGACTAAAGCAAATCATGCAGCTATAAAGCAAAGAAAGGAGTCAGGAGAGGTTACTACAAAGCCATGCAGTCTATGACAAAATAACCAGATACCTCACACTATGTACAACTCACTGTATCACTTGAAATATTCAAAGTACAACTGTGTTTTTTGTGTCATTTCATAGACATGATGGAAGGTGGAGATGTAGTGATTACACAAACTTATTTGAGATGAGCAATGGAACAACTGCCAAAACGAAACTACAAGATTAAACCGCTTTAACTGAAGAGTCATTGCTCTTACAGCAGATCTTATCTGCCTTGGTCATCTTCCAGCAACGGATGTTATGTGCATCACAACTGCACTGCATTGTGAGATATTTATACTGTTGTAGCGTCCATGCTAAAACAGGGACTTGTTTCAGCAAGCCCCAGGGTAGACCCAGCTCAGAAATATAATCAGCTGAGAGATTATATTTCTCATCTGGCTTGGGAATGGAGTCCCCCCCTGGAAGAGGTGGATGGAAGTGAGGAAGTCTGGGCTTCTCTGGTCAGACTGCTGCCCCCACGAGCTGAATTCACATATTGATTATAATAAGAAGAAGATGGATGGATAATCCTGGCACAAGTACTCTATGGGACTGTGCAAAACGTCTGAAAGCACCCATCATTTCTTTATTTTATGTTCCTTTAGACTGTTCCTTTAGTTGAATCTAGACAAAAAGAGTGAGAAAGCCCATTTTGACAGGCAAAATAGTAATTCTAAAAGAGCTGTTAGCCAAAACATTGGTGTATCTCGGTAGGGTGTGAGGTGTTTCCTAAAAAAATCTGAGGGAACTGGATGATTGGAGGACAAAAAAAATGAACAGCCAATGAACAGTATCTGATAGTCAGGTCCTTGAAATTTAGGACTGAAAATCTGTGGCAACAGGTCTCAAAGAGTGTTGAATCAAAATGTCACATTTTAGTTCCAAATGAAAGGCAAAGGTTTAAAAAGGAAACTCAAAACCAAAACCTAAACTGACACAAAGAGCTTAAGGTTACCTAGAGAAATCACTGGAGCGGACAGGAAGCATAGACAAAGACAAAGAGAAGGACGTGAAAATATTTACACAGAAAGGACAAATTGAAGTTGGGAAATAGGATAAGGAGTAAGACCCTAAACACAAAAAAAACTTCAACTTTAAATGGAAAGTCTTGCTGTGAGGCAACAATGTCACCTGCTGTACCACCTGTACAAAGTTTTGCTCAACAGAAGTCCACAATTTACCCCGTCTTACCAAGTAAATCTTAAACCAGTTTCTGTATCTCTTGTCATGTAAGATATTTCTCGTATCACATTTCTTGTTCCATCGCTTAGTCTTGTCCATAACTGCAGGTGTGTAAAAATTAAAAAGTCATAGATGATTGATTGTTCCAAATTACTGCAATCCCTCTTTAATGGACTGTTTAACCACACCTTAAATGTGGTTGATCAACAGAGCGAAACATCTGGTCCCATTCTCGCAAATTTGGCACATTTAAATGGAGATATGTGTGGAGAATAATGCATTAAACATACATACAAACATACATACTATTTGGATGTCTAAGGGTAGAAATGAGCAGGATACAGATGAGCATCAAACCACAGATGAGTAGTTTAGATGCTTATGTCTGAGAGTTGGATTACAATATGGGGCTGAGTTTGACTTTGACTGTGATCAGATTAAATGTAATGATTAAAAAGCAAAAGATAAAGGAAGCAACACACTTGTAGGATTTTTTGTAAGCTATGCTGTTCAAACTCAAGAAGTAGGTATAAATATCCTATTGCACACAATGTGACAGAGTGGTGTCAACAATGCTGCAGTTGACACCAAGATTATTTAAAGTAGGCCCTGTTCACCGGTTCCTATTTGCCGGGCAACAATAAGGAACCGCGTAAAAAAATATATGCATTAAGGAGCAGAGCTAACAGGGTGGTTAATCCCACTAAATACTTGAAGAGATGTGGTAACTCAAATCAAACACCAAACCAAACAGACAGAGGCAAGAAAAACATAATGAGAGAAAAATGCTCCTAAGTTGACATCAAGCAACCGTCAGACACACACACACAGATATCTGAATCTCTTAGCTCATTCCCAGGTAAAAGCCATCGTTATCCTGATCCTCACTTTTTTTCATTTGAGTTTGATTTTCCAGCTCTGTCCAAAAAAAAAAAAAAGCCAAACTTGCCTTTAGAAAAGTAGAACTCAAAGGAAGTGCAAGAGGAGAAGAGACAGGCAATGAGTGATTAAAACAGTAATAAAGAGACAGTCGGAGGGAGCAAGAGATCTAAATTAGGGACAAAAGACACCGGAGGATGTATGTGTGTGTGTGTGTGTGTGTGTGTGTGTGTGTGTGTGTGTGTGTGTGTGTGTGTGTGTGTGTGTGTGTGTCTGCGCTGATGTGGGCATTATGTGCACGCTTGCGTGTTTCTATGCAGTGTATCTTTACAGCCCCCTTGTGAAACCTCAGGCAACTTAATTCAGTGTTTCCAGTTCAGTCCTTTCCTGCTTTGCCTTCCTATTCTCTCAGTTATTTTAATATCTTTTTTAATGTAATGGAACTTAAAAGTGTATAAAAACATATATTATTGCTAAGAAAAGCGTAGGTAATCACATTAAACGGAAAAAACAACCATATTTTGTTGCTTTTGTTGTCTGGGAGGGTTTTCTCTGCAGTGATATTTACACCACGAGCTTTATTCCTGCTGGAGTGATTTACTGTAGATCGATAGGATGCTCTATCCGTTCCTTTTCGGTCTAATCCTGTTGAAGAATATCTATCGTCTTAATAAAACATAGATCCATTAGAGATAATTAATGTCACAGTTAAATCGGCTGCTGGCAAAGATTATCGTCACTCTGTATCATTTATTGCTTTTCCTATCTCTGAGCTTTTTAATCCAGTGTCCTTCTTAATTATCTTCTTTAGACTTTAGCTTTTCCGTCTCATGAACTCATGAGCTAAAGTCAAAGTTATAAACAGGTGATCCTCTGTGCACACGGCTTGACTGAGCACACTGACGCAACATAGAGCTAATTTCAAGACAGCAGAGGCGTTGCTGTCATCTTAACTCTGAAAAGCACGTTGTGCAAATGCATGCTTGAAAATGTTATACGCATGTGTCCATCTGACCACTGTGTGCATTTTTTTTATTTATTCATTATTTTTTACACAGGTGCACATGTGGTTCCCCTCTCCTGTTAATCTGGGTCAGCAGCAGACAAGCGATGATGAACTGCACAAGAGCTGCAGCTCTCCCTCGTGTTGATATTTCAGACTACATGGTGCTCTGTAACAAAACATCTCTTGTGCTGAAGTCTGAGCCACAGCTCTGCTTGTAATTAGTGGATGATTTATGTTATGTAATATAATAATAAATGCAAAACTCAGTGCATTACCAGCTCATTTTGGCCTCTGGGTATTACCTCTGAGATCATGGGGATACTCTGGTCTATGCTTTTATGCTTGGAAGTATGAAAAGGGGGTATTGAGCATGACTTGGTTGTCTCTTGGTTGCTGAGCTACTCTGGTGTGAATAGTTACGACTCTCCTACATCTAAGAGACTCCTTCCTGAGGCCATTGCCTAAAGTGTGTTCTGTCACCTTGCTTGGGTAAATAAGACAAAAATCCTGTGTCTGAAACAATGTCTCCCCTGAGACTTCAGTCAACACAGTATAGGACATTGCAAGCAGATGGGGCCAGCTAGCCTAAAGGCAGAGGGATAGAAAGAGAGAGAGACTTATAAGGATTTTAATTGTAAGCCTGCTAATGGTACAACCACTTTCATCTTCTGCTTTGGAATTTAGACCTTAAGACCTG